TGAGGCGTGAGGCGATGTCGGGCTGTATACCTCAGATGATCTACTTTGGTAATGTGTTTTTTGACTTTTTTATAAGCTACAGTAGTAGTAGTACTTCTCTTTATGGTATAAGAGTCCTTTTGTATTTTAAAGAACTAAAAGTCAAAGCACAATGGCTACAATGTATACTTTAATATTTTAAAACCCAAAGAGCTATTACTTTTTCCTCTCAATAAAAAAGTGGGGTTGGACCCTTCCTCTTCCTCCAAGCAACCAATTTTTCCACATCCTCTCGGCCTATCTCACAGTTTCACTCTTTCTTATGTCAAGAAACACTGAACCAACGCCTCTTAGTAATTTAGTATTATACATAATATATATATATTTATATACAACTGTATATATATTTGGTGTATCTATATTTCCGTCTCGTGCTTACTCCTCAGACCGCCTCGAGGCCTATGCCTCGCTGAGGGGAAACGCCTCGAGGCCCGATTCCTCCTTTTAAAACCTTGCTTCCCCAACATTTTTGATTCCATCTTTTTCGTAAAAATGAGATAATGGAAAATATGATTCGGGTTGTGTTCACTTTCTATATGCTTTCACTCTTCATCCATCAATTCCCAACATCAATACTCTCGCAAATAAAGTGTTTCAATGGCAACCCAAAGTTGTATTCATATACACTTGCCATTGATGCCGCTCTTTTCTCATTTTCAAATCCATCCGACCTACAACTTTGTCAAGATCATCGACGCCCTCATGTTGCCCAAATTTACGATGAATAAGAAAATCGTTGTATTGCTGCTTAGAAATACGTTTATGTTCTTATGAGTTGTTTAAGCTTTGATCACTATTGCCAAGCCAACCCCAATTTTCCAAATAAAGCCAACAAAAACATATTTTGTTGTAGCAAACGACACGTTCGAGGGCCTTTGAAACATGCAAATTCTTATGCATGTGTCTGAACAAAAAGAGAAAGATGGAGCATGGCTTAGAAAGATCCCAACTCCACTCCTTTAAGCCAGCTGGGGAATTTGATGCTTTACAGGCCAAAACATAGTTGCTAAAAGCACGCTTTAGGCGCTTCTAGGCTCATAAAAGGCTCGATGTATGCACGAGGCTCATTAAAGGCCTGCGCCTTGGTTGAGGCGCCTTGTGGGCCTAGTGCGCCTCATAAAGGGCTATTAAATACCTAGTCAAACTCTAATATTAAACAAGTTTTCTCATCTTTTGTTTTCTTAAAAAAGAGTTACTAAATAGATGTCATAAGTCAAACCCAAATATTAAATACCCGGTCCTTAGAACTTCAAGCCTTCTTCTCTATGAATACCCAGACCTCACAACTTCTCCTTCACGGCTCACGCTTTAAACCCTTCTTCCTTCTGCCGCTATCGAAGTGTTGTTGGTTGCTGCATTCGGGGCTCTTACTTGTTGCATATTTGAGTTGTGTGTAACTGCATGTGTGTATATATATATATATATACACACATTAACAAGACGCGCCTCGCATTCCAGAGGCCCGCGCTTCATGCTGCGCCTCGTGCCTAGGCCCCAGGACCCCTTTGCGCCTAAGTGCGCCTCGAGTCTTTAACAACTTTGGGCCAAAAGCATCGGATGGAAGCTGAATCTTGCTCAAAAACAAAAGGGACTTCAACTAAATTAGAATTGTGCTATTATTGCCTACAAATGACTCAAGGATTACACAATGAGAATTGGATATAAAATCAAAATTTCACAACTATTTTTTCAAGTATAACTAAATCATATGTTTTACTATATAAATCACGTTTGTATAAGCACTATTTGATGTAGATGTCTATTTCTATCCTGAGTTTATCAATAGAAATGTCAAATCCTTATTCATAGAGCTACACATAATCACCATCCCGCATAACTTACAAGCCTTTTTCCTTCTTTTTCTTGGGTTCCTCAATAGGGCAACAAGAATGACGGTCAAATCCATCTTGCCATCAAATATATTTCTTTCCACAACTTATGTGAAGTAATCATGGTTACTTGTCATATATCTCCCCAATAATTGACAATGCAAACAATCTATGTTAATTTTACACAAATTTCAGATGAATAAGTAGAATTAGAAGATTGGTATACGACTCATAGGTTGTAGATGACCACTCAAAGCAGTCATTGAAGTTTTCAAACATTCTCTTGGACTCTTGGAGGTTATTCACTATGGCCTAACCACATCATGGCAAACAGACAACCTACAAACATGACATACAACACATTTGGAAAATGGTACATTGATGATTTGGTGGTGTTGTCTTGGTTTGAGAGAAAACTGTAGACATAAAAATTAAATCACAAAAAATTGTGGTGCAAGTGGAATAAGTATGAAGCCTTGTAGCATAAATTGACATGTAGCTTCATGTAAGTAGAATAAGCTTAAATTCAACAACTTTTACAAGCCAACACTTTAGTGGAATATATAATTGGTGTGTGCAAGGCCGGTTCTAAGATTTTTGATGCCCTGTGCCAAAATAATAAAAAGTGCCCCTAAGCCTATTATTTTAAGCCAATGAAACAACAAAACTTGCAATTTTTTAAAGAGTTTAGAACCTATTCAAGCTAAGTGTCCCATCCCCATGTTGATCTTTATTATTTATAATAAAAAAATACAAGGGGTGGGGGGGAACATAAAAATCGAAACCCCGAATACAAAAATATAGAATGATAAAAAGGATAAATCCTGGATTAAGATCGTGCTTCCTTCTTTTCCAAATTTCCCTTTTCCAAATTGAAATTAGGAAAATAGAAGCTTTATTTTAATATATGGGACTTAAAAGACAAGGAAAACTATAATTAGCTTTTAACTAAAATAGTAAATTACATCCAAATTACTGTCATATTAAGTAAAAAGTAAAACTCAAAAGTTACAGGTCTAATGACTAAAGGCTAAGGGCCTATCTTTTAGCAGCTTAATAAGCTTAATGGAACTAACAGCTTACTCTTTCAACATGTCCCTTCCAACTAAATAAACGCTCCTTATATCTGCGAAAAAACTCTCCCAAACAAAAACTTTTCCAACTTATACGGATAAATTAATTCATACACACAACTTTATCCATGTAGACCTTAATAAAAAAACCAATCAAACAACCCCTAAATCTAATGCGGTGATGCCAAACCTTAAAATAAACAAAAGTCAAAAGAACAATAATAAATTGTAAAATTCAGAATCTATGTTACTGTGCATTTGAAAGAACAAGTGCCCGATAATTAAGACAATCTCACAATATGTTGTTAATGTTGTGCAGTGTGCTCCAGCTATGTTGATACAGTGATGTGCTTATGTGCATTGAAAATTTCAATTCTCAGATATTTCAAAATATGCAAGAGGAAGACTCATTATCAAAATGACAAAAGCCCCTTAGCCTTAGCCTAGTAGGTCAGTAACCCACACGACCGCATGACCCAACTTTATAATATTCAGTTAGAAATTTAGATTTTTTTTTTGCAAAAAGATTTAAAGATTCATAAATCATAATATGACTCATGCAACAACTGGTAAGTTCAATCAACAGTAGAAATCATTCCTTCAAGATTTTCATCTTTGATTTCTTGAATCTAATTTCATGACCGTTAATCGGCTGGAAAGAGAACTCCATGCCTTGAAAATCGAAATAGCCGAACTTTGAAGAACAATATAAATTAGATTGAGTTGTTGGAATGATTGCGTTAACCGGTTCACGATGTGCATTCAGTATTCATCACTACTAGGCCTTGGGTCTGTTTTTATCGTTAAAGCTCAGTTGTCCAATTCCCTAATTATTAAACCCAAAACTAGTAATAGATGACAGCTTGATGCCCCTTTAGGCTTTGATGCCCTGTGCGGCGGCACGGGCTGTGTGTGTTGCCATATTTGAAACTTCTTAAGGAATGGAATATATGTTAAGATCGATTACATCCTAAGTAGGTTAATAGATGTTCATGCAATTAGATTTTACATGCTCCTGGAGAAGAATTGCTAGCCTACCACATGCAATTGATAACAGCTCTTCCAAGAGACTTGGTATTAACCATCAGAAAGACTATACTTTACATGATGATAATGACTAAAAGAAGCTACAATTGTGACTACCAAAATCTAGGAAGAAATACATAAATAGATGGGAGTCAGTAAGACATATTTCTTTGATAGAACCTACGAGGTTATAAACATTTGTTTCTCCATATTTCGAAAAAAAAAAAAAAATCTTACAAGAGGGTTGCACCATGAACTGTAAAAGTATCATGTGTGTAAAAGATATGGCCAATTTCTTGTGGATAACATTTTGGTTACTCTTTTGCCTTCAAATGCATCTGTCTTCAAATGATTGTACCAAAGGGTATTCTTCACATGGGAAAAAGGTAGGCAGAAAAACAGAAAAAAGGAAAAGGAAGAACACATATAAGAGTACCTCTTAAAGACTTTAGGAGAATATGGATTTGTATATTGCTGTGTTGATCCAATTACAATATATACACACACACACACACACAAGAGTGATTAGAGATAAGGATAAGGACTATTATAAAGCAACTCCCTGTTGGAGTCTAACTCTCTATTGGAGTCTATCTATAACAACTTAGCACCTTTCCTTATATACGATGTCTACACCTCTGCATTAAGATCATTCTATAAAACAGAAAAACACATAAAAGAGCACCTCTGGCCTTTGCAATAAAAGTGAAAAAGGATAAGAAAGAGAAGGACCTTCATGTGGAACTGTAGAGGAACTACTCAGGATATTGGTGGAACTACAGGGGATTATGCTTAAAAAACACACGGAAGTGAAGAGGGGAAGAAAGATGCACTACCGTATGAGAGGATACGAACCTGGAGAACCCTAACTGTATGAAGATCAGGAGCAATGGAGCATCCCCTAACCGTATTGATATATGGTCTTGAAGCTGTAATCATACAGGTAGCTTGCATCATCATCTTGGGGAAATCAATTTGTAAATCGTCATTTTAACACCCCCATCCTACTGGACCTAAAATGAGGCGTGAAACATATAGATCAAAGTATAGAGCTTTAACATAATTCCCAAAAGATTGCATTACAACCAAATAGTATTCATATGTTTAACATATTTACATAGCAAAAGTACTGATCTAAAACTATTCTTTTAGCATCCTAAGCCATCTTGACCATTCATGCTGCCCCCGGGTTAGATCTTGAACCTGCCGAGGTAAAACAAAACAAACCTCGGCTGAGCAAAATTTTTCCTAATGAACGAATAATAACATTATAAATACAAGATAAAATAGTAAATTCAAGAAAACATTACGATAAAAGTTGACATGCATTTAAGTGTAAATATCTAAATTTGAAGCTTATATAATAAATAAATAAAAATCAAGGTAAAGTCATCCGTATCATTAGGATACGTTGTTCCCAATGGATAGTCCAATCAGGCGTCGTAATGGAATGGAAGTATTGGGCACCACACCATCTCATTCCCCGGTAACCAGAGATATATGGTATTCGGTTCTATCCGGTAACCAATGTAATTGGTATTCGGCTCTATCCGGTAACCATGGTACATGGTATTCGGTTCAAGGATGCATCCAACATTCTCTATTTGGCTTGACCATAACCCTTATAAGAATGCCATGACTATTTTAGCCATCATGGAGGCGTCTCAATATCTGTGCCCCAAGTACTGAGCCTAGTCATAACTAAATTCAATAACCTTAAACTCAAACTCTTTAATCGTATCAATAAATTAACATGGGATAATTAGAATAATAAAACCATGAAGCTTTCAACTTAATTTATCGGCAAGAATCATAGAATACAGCGTTAATGGATCGAAGTCTCAAGCATACAAAGTCTTTAAAACAAGACATCCCATAAACACAAAAGATTTCGGATAACATCTTGATAACCTCCACTTTTGTGGATGAATACCATGATCAATATGCCGCAGAATGGATAATCACTACATTTGATTAACCACGTATTGAAAGAATGTAGATATTCGTACCTTGGAAGTGTTAGAAATAGTCACAAGCGACTTGAGGCTTATGAACGGTTCTCTCCTTCCGGGTTACCTACACTTGTTAGAAAAAAATACCTTTAGACGACTTTCGGTAACAATTCTTATCAATTTCAAGTTCCTACAAGCCCTTATAGATAAAAAGATCCTACGGACCTTCAAATGTGCTTAAAATACCCTTAGGATACTTAATAAACACTCAATACAATTAATAGAACCCTAAACAAAATTTGTAAAAATCCAATCTCTACATATTGAAACAGTAGCTAACAGATTCATAACACCTAAAGTTTAAGCCTAATTCTCATACTTGGAAGATAAACCAAACTTTTGTGTAAAAATGAAAGTTGTAGATATACCTCTTAAGATTTCAAAGAAACTGGATTCACATAATTTGGAGCTTTGGTATAATTACTACAGAATTTACACTAATTGAGTGAAATTTCGAAGCTGCAGAACAGGGCTGGGAAAACCAATGTTTTCGAGTTGCTTAAACTCAGAACTAGGTTTTGGTGTAAACTACAAAGTTATAGTACACTCATAGATCTTTCTGTTCATATAAATAACATCTCATTTGGACAAATGGTTGATTTTATACGAATTTTCAAACTTACTTAATTGAATTTTCACTTCCAACAGCACCAATCTTGAAGAAATTCCATCTCAAATCATCAATCTTTCACCTATATTCATGAATACACTTGGGGTTTAACCCATTTTCCCAAAGAAGAAGAAATCACAAAAAAAAAAAAAAAATCAAACCATAAACATACCTTACTTTGAGTCCTAATTCCAAATATGACCTACAATCTTCAAAGATCTTGGAATTCCACAAGAGATTTGAGATTTATAGTTGAATTTTAGGGTTGAGGAGGAGAAAAACAAATGAACCTTAAGAGAAATCTGATTTT